GGGAGGAGAAACAAAGTAAGGAGGGAGGAAGAAAGGAGAAACAAGGGAGGGGGAGAGAGAGGAAAGAAGGAAGGAAGGAAGAAGGGAGGGAGAAAGGAAGGAAGGAGAAATAAGGGAGGAAGGGAGGGAGGGAAGAAGGAAGGAAGGAAGGGGTAGTTACATAAGCTGAGCATAGTGAGGAAACCAAGACTCTGGAATACAGAAGCAGTAGAGTCAAGAAGATGTGGTGAGAGAAACCTTGAAAATCCTTAAGAACTTGAAAAGTTAAAGGAGCTCAGAAGTGTAGCTATAACTACTATTTGCTGTGAAACAAGCAAGTGCAGTGAAAGGGTCATTCCAGAGCAGGGGTTGCCAACCTTTTGGACCTCAGGGGCCACCAAACTAATAATTTTAAATCCGTAGTCCACTAATATGAATTTTGACTGACAGTGGCTTGCTGACGTTTTCCCAGGGTCTCTGTAGAAAGCAGCAGAGACCCTGGGAAAATCCCCCCAAAAAGTCTGCAGGAAAATTCCCCACCCAGTTTTCCTATCGATCGATCGTTCTGTATTTGGGATCAGGGGATACCATCTCTAGCTCCGTTCTCAGGGGGAGAAAGAGAGAGACTTTTGGCTTCATGCAAGGAAAGCAGCAGAAGTCTTCCTTTCTCTCCCCCAAACTCCACCAGAAATTAGTCTTTGTGAGACATCGTGCCGGCGTAGCCTTTTGGAGCAGGATGCCTTGCAGGGCCCAAAGACTCTTTTCTGGTGGAGTTTGGGGGAGAGAAAGGAAGACTTCTGCTGTTTTCCTTGCATGCAGCCAAAAGCAGAAAAAGTGGAAAGAAGCAGCCCGGTGGCCAGGCCAGGTGCGTGGGGCAAGTTCCCCCCCCTGCCCTTTCCCCTCCCTCCACCACTACCTCGTGTAGTTCACAATACAAGCGACACAAGCCTTGTGTTCCCATGGGCCATGTAGGCAGTGCAGCCTTGTGTTCCCGCGCAGCCTGGATTAATTGCTTTAGGGGTGACATTTCTCTGCGGACCACCCAAATTTTCTCGCAGACCACCAGTGGTCCCCGGCCCACTGGTTGGCGGCCACTGTTCCAGAGCATTTCAGAGCGAGAATTAATCTAGAATGCCTCCCTCAAAAAAACCCTGACAAAAAGGAGCAGATTAGCGTGCATCCTGCTTAAAATTGGAATCTTCCTAAATCGGTGTCAGCCCACCTCATCCTCTCTTGACGTTTAACCAACACCCCCAATACCTGCGCTGAAACGTCAGCTGCTCTTTTGGATCCACCAGAAAAGGGGGGTGATCCTAAAAACGCTGGCGGCATTGATCTGTTCCCTGTGAACAGAAAGAAAAAATGGAAGCAGGTTTTTAAAGATCGTAGTTAAATAAACGTGAGAAATTATAGGGAGAAATTAAATAGGGAGAAATTATAAACAAGAGGCGTAGAGAAATGAGAGGGAGCTGGATTCTCCGATAACACCATGCCCCTTAAAGCAGGGGTCTCCAACCTTTTGGACCTCAGCGACCACCAAACTCATAATTTTAAATCCCGCGGACCACTAATATGAATCCAGCATGTCGCTCGCTGAAGCACCGGGACTCCCACTGACGGGATGGAGTCCTTCAGGCACTTAGCTTGGCTATCTGTTTCTGCTACCTCATTTGGACTCGTTTCCCACAGAAAACAAAACAGCGGGATCTCTCATCTCTCTTTCTTTCTCTCACATCTCTCTCTCCCCCCATCTCTCTTTCTCTCTCTTTCTCTCTCTCTTTGTGTCTTGTCTCTCTCTTTCCCTCCCTCTCCCTCTCTCTCTCTCTCTGTATCTTGTCTCTCTCTCTCTCTTGCCTTCTCTCTTTCTTCCTTTCTCCCTCTCTCTCCTTCTCCCTCTATGTTGTCTCTCTCTCTATCTCCCCCCACCCTTTCTGTCCCTGGGGGTGCGGTGGGAAAGGAACCTCTGAACTGATGCTGGGTGGTGGGAATCTGAGGTCCAGAGACTGACGAGCCATGTGCTGAAGACAAGATGGCTGCCGGGGAGGTGGGGCAATCTCGCTAGCGAACCCATGTCGTGGCTGCCGCCTCCTGCCTCTGCGCATCGAGCAGCAGCGGGAAGCAACCTCCTGAGCCGCAGGAAGCACCTGCCAGCGATGCCCTCAGGTGAAGATGTCGCAAGGGGGAGGCTCGACCCTTCCCCTCAGGAGCTGCAAAACACTTGCCGCCCCTCTGGGACCCGCCAAGCCTCCTCCTTTCCCGCTGGGCGTGTGAGCGCTTCTGGCGAGGAGGACGAGAAGCACGGTGGGAGGAGGTCTGGCGGCTACCAGAGGGGCAGCGAGCGCTTTGCAGCTCCTGAGGGGAGGAGTGTGGAAGATCGCGCCCTCCTCTCACAGGCCAGGGAACACGTGGGAAGGGTTCCGATGCCACGATCTCCGGCGCGCTACCCTCCCTCCCCGCACGCATCAGTCCATCCACCGCTGGTATCACCCCCGTTGCAGACACGGGTATGCTGTGGACCACCAAAATTTTCTCACAGACCACCAGTGGTCCACCAACCACCAGTTGGCGACCTCTGCCTTAAAGGACCTTCCCTTACCTTTTGAAGTGTCCTGATTTTTAGCAACGCCTCCAAAAAGAAGCTCCTGGGAAGGATTTGCAAAATCCCTGCATTTCCCGTGATGTTCAATGACCTCTACAAATGGTGCCTGGACCTAAAAAAAAAAAAAGGAAATTAAGGGATTCTTATTTTCAGATCACAATATTGAAGCTCCCATGGGGATGGAATGAGTAATGGAACGTTTGCCCCAAATGAGGTTCTCACCTTCAACTCTACACGTTCCTTCTGCTCCTCCACCTGACTCAAGAGGAAGCCTTCGGCTAGGGCCACCGCCTGGGAGCTGGTCTCTGCTCCACACTCCCGTATCCAACTCTGCATCTCTGCAGGCAGGACAGCCAGGAACTGCTCCAGAACCACCAGGTCCAGCATCTGCCCTTTGGTGTTCCTCACCGGTTGCAGCCACTGACGGCAAAGGTGGTGAAGGCGACTGCAAAACTCACGGGGTCCCTTAGACTCTTGGTAGTGGATACCCCTGAAGAGCCTGCGCTGGACCTCTGAACTGATGGCTTTCGCCTCCAGGGTCGTCATCTTCTCAGCTCCTGCCCAGGAGTCCTTACCCACTCGGTAATGTCCCTCCATTTCTTCTCCGTTCTCCAACATTGTTCCCGATGGGGCCAATGGAGGTTCAGGAACCCCAAAAATCTTTTCATTCATACGATCTGGATCGTCGCAGCAAAGCCCTGGATAAATTCTTCAAGCCTATTCAGCCTTTTTTGATAAGGAGGCTTTTTCGTTTCCAGACAGGGAGTCCGCCCAAGTAGCTTTCAGCTTCTAGATCTGGTGGGGGAAAAAAAGGATTCCAGAATTACTAAAATCTGCTGAGGTTGACGTCAAACCATTTAAGGTGAAAGAGATTTTGTTGGCCATTATCCTAGGCAGGTTAGTAGGCCCGTGGCTGGATGAAGGGGACTTTTAAGCTCTGATAACAGATTAACAAAGTTGGAAGGGACCTTGTAGGTCATCTAGTCCAACCCCCCCACCCAAGCGGGAGACCCTACACCATTTCTGACAAATGGCAGTCCAAACTCTTCTTGAAAGTCTCAAGTGATGGCGTTCCCACAACTTCTGAAGGCAACTTCTGTTCCATGGGTGGATTGCTCTCACTGTCAGAAAGTTTCTCCTTATTTCTAGGTTGAATCTCTCGTTTCCATCCATTATTCCTTGTCTGGCCTACAGGCGCTTTAGAAAATAGCTTGACCCCTTCCTCCTCTCTGTGGCAGCCCCTCAAATATTGGAAGACTGCTATCATGTCTCCCCTGGCCCTTCCCTTCACTAGACTAGCCAGGCCCATATGCTTCAACCATTCTTCATACATCTTAGTCTCCAATCCCCTCATCATCAATCTTGCTCTTCTCTGCACTTTTTCTAGAGTCTCAACATGTTTTTTATAGTGTGGTGACCAAAACTGGATGCGGAATTCTAGGTGTGGTCCTACTAAGGCTTTATAGAGTGGTATTAGTACCTACCTTGTTTCTATCCCTCTATCCTATCCTATCCTAATTCTAGTCTATATTCTATTTTCTATTCTATTCTGTTCTAGTCTCTATTCTATTCTCTATCCTATCCTATCCTAATTCTACTCTCTATTCTATTCTCTATTCTGCTCTATTCTATTTTCTATTGTGCCCTATTATTTATTCTATTCTCTATCCTATCCTAATTCTACTCTATTCTATTCTCTATCCTATCCTAATTCTATTCTCTATTTTATTCTATTCTCTATTCTGTCCTATTCTATTTTCTATTCTGTTCTATTCTCTATTCTATTCTCTATTCTATTCTCTATTCTGTTCTGTTCTATTTTCTATTCTATTCTATTCTATTCTATTCTCTATCCTATCCTTATTCT